GCGGCAGTGGTTCCGTTAGAAGATATTCAGGTGGATGCGAGCCTGAATTACGCCGAGAGACCAGTAGCTATCAGGGATCGGAAGATCAAGGTTCTACGGAACAAGGAGATACCTCTGGTGTTGGTTCAGTGGCAACATCGGAAGGGATCGGAGATGACTTGGGAGCCGGAAAGAGAAATGCGGGAGCAACATCCGGAGTTATTCGCAGAATGAGACTTCGAGGGCGAAGTCTAGTTCTAGTGGGGGAGAGTTGTAACAGCCCGGAATTTCAGGTATTTCTTTAAATTATTTTTGGGGCACATTTAGGAGGGGACTCGGTGAGTTGGTGCCTGACTCGCCGAGTAGGACCACGGTCTTGGTCACAGATACGCGACTGGACTCGACGAGTCCAATACTATACTTCACCCGGAAGGGTTTGACTGCGTGACCGGAAGGTCGTATGTGTTATATTTATGCTATGTCTAGAGAGGTAGATGCTTTATATGTGATGTATGCTTATATGTGATGTATGCTTATACGGGCCGGAAGGCGAGACTTTATGTGATAGAAAAAACGGTATGATGTATGACTTATGTGTTATGTGTGATATGTTACGTGTCTTATGTTTTATACTATTATGGGCCGGAAGGCAAAATACTATGGGCCGGAAGGCAATTTAATACGGGCCGGAAGGCGATATGTTATGGGCCGGAAGGCGATTATGTTACGGGCCGGAAGGCAATGTTATGTGGACCGAAAGGTCCGGGCCGGAAGGCGTATGTGGGTAAGTCGTATACTGGGGAACTCACTAAGCATTTATGCTTACTAGTTGTGTTTATGTTTTTCAGGTACTAGTGATGACCGTGGGAAGGAGCCGGCGTGACACGTACACACTGCCATTGTTGAAGACTTTGAGGATTCGTTATTTATATTTTTGTAATAAACTTGGAATAAACTCTTTTGTCGAATAATGATGTTTTATTTTAAATGAAAAATTTGTTTGAAAATTTGAGCTGTTACATATATATATATATATATATATATATATATATATATATATATATATATATATATTATATATATATATATATATATATATATATATATATATATAGCTATTCTACCACACAAGTAAGAATAAGTGAGGGACTCACATTGCACTGATCACTGATAAAACTCACACCCGAACTGTCAGAACTAGACTTCGGTAATTTAAATACACCAATTAACCTTAATTAATAATTAAGGTATTTCCACACATACTACTAAGCCCAAGACAAGTCTAGTCCATACTTAGAGTCAAAAGACCATTTTACCCCTCACCATCCACTTAATACTCAAATGGTCAAATTCCACATAGGTCAACGAAAGTCAACCTTTGTCAGTACGCTCGGCGTATTGAACTCTATGTTGGGCGTAGAGCGTAATACCATATTCAGGCTCGCATCTGGCTATGTTGGGCGTAGCTAGGTGTACGCTCAGCGTGCGTAAGCTGTGTCACATCCCCAAACCAGAACGACGGAAAGGTCTGGGGGCAGATGGAGTGACTTCATGTATAATATCATAACAATTAAATATAAATGAAACATAGCAACGTAAACATTCATACATTGAGAATTTAAGCTTACATTGTTTACAAACTTTTTTGCTCAAAAGTTAATATAAATGACTAAAAAGCAGAAAACATGAAACGACGACGCCGATCCTCAAGAAGGGTTGGATACTTGTCTAATGATTTCCTGAGAATACAAATGACTTTGAAAAGTGTCAACAATTAAGTTGGTGAGTTCATAAGCATTTTTGTATGAGAAGGGTTTGTAATGTTTTCGTGTAAAATGATTTGTATACTTCAAGAAAATATGATATTTTCCTTAATATGAGCTATATATGTATGTATTTCCTTTGTATCTTTTCCTTGTAAAATGATAATGTATATTTCCAGAATATCCAATATTTTCTTAAATGAGTTGAAGATGTATGTATTTCTTTTGTATCTTTTCTTGTAAAATGATAATGTATGTTTCCAGAAAATCCAATATTTTCTAAAATGAGCTGTAGATGTATGTATTTATTTTGTATATTTCCTTGTAAAATGATAATCTATGTTTCCAAAAAATCCAATACTTTCTTAAATGCGAATTATAGTCTTAAACCCTAAGACCAACAATGTATAAGTATTGATGTACTAAACAATAGTGTGTAGTTATATATTTTTTATAAAACTAATGAAGTGTAAGTTTCTCCCTAAACCAAATCGTTTTTTCAATCCCTATTTGAGGTATAATCATGCTTAATATGACTGATATGCCTTAACGGTGTTCTTCAAGTGTTGGAGCTGGTAGACTTTTGTCACCTTAGACTTGTCGGTATAACTGAAGCGAAAAACTGAGGCGTGGGGTTGTCAATCTCGTATAGATCGATACACAACAATCTCCCTCTCCCTCAAGGAGACTCTGGTTATAATGCAAGACTTAAAGTGTACGCTAGGTAGGTATGGTGAAGAGAATGTCTCATAAGAGTATCCACAGATTCATGGGAACTATGACTCCTTTTTCTTGTAAAATGAAATAATTGTACCTTTGAATAATCATATGGTTCTTCTGAAATGAAAGCATGGTTGGTGACTTCCAAACTATACCAATTATAGTTTATCTTGTGTGTTGTTAAGACTATTTATATATACTCTAGTATATAAATATACAGTTGTTATTTTTTCTAGTGTCAAAATATGAAATCAAACATAATATTTTTAGGTTAAAACCCACCTAATTAGTAAATGACTATAATGTAACCATTTTTGCTAGAAAAACTATCTTTTAGAAAAAGTTTCCAAAAACCATGTAGTTTTACAAATCATAAATTTTCTTATGATTTTATTGTTGGATAAGGTGTCTAAGTCCATAACTATTTCTGGTATGTACTTGACCCGACCCGACATGGTCCATTTGGGTTGCATGGCACCATGCAATTGGATAGACTAAATGAGAGAAATAACACTTGGATATTATTAATATATTATAAGTTCTAATATATTAATAATATTATTTGATTAGTTTGATCAATAATTAATTTAGAATTAATTAAGCGGTCAAAAGAGAACTAATTAAATATATGGGTTGATTATGTAAATCATCCATATCTTGTATAGTGGGCTAAGAGGCTCCATGGATTATCAAGTTGGGTTCTACCCATAGGATGCTCCATGGATGCTCCATGGGAGTTACAAACCCATGGGTCATGGAAATGAAGAGTCATGACACATTAGGGTTTACATGGTGTAACCCTAGATGTGTCAACACTATATAAGGATCTCATTCTCCACCGAAATCGGTTACACTAAGGAAACAAGAGGGCTTGGCCGATTTCAAGAAGTGTGTGTTCTCTCATAAGTTTTTCCAAGAGCATTTGGTGTTGTGTGAAGCATTTGAGGCATCACACTTGGGGTGGTAGGCTCACAAGGTTTCAAGGAACACAAGCAACAACAAGGTAAGTTATTCTATTTATCATTCAAGTTAAAATTGTTCCCCATGTATGCTAGATAGGAATATAGCCTTGGAATTCAACTTTGCATGATAATTAGACAAACATAGATCCAAGGTTATTAGGGTTGCATGTACACTTAGGAAGTGTTAGAATGCTCAAAACCCATCAGTGGTATCAGAGCCTAGGCTTGTTTGCTTTTTATTTGTGCTTAAAAGTTGGAAAAAAAGTCGAAAATCTTGCTGTCTACGAATGGACTCGTCGAGTCCATAAGGGGGACTCGTCGAGTTCACGTGTATCTTCAACCAACTCGGCGAGTAAGTTCATGCACTCGGCGAGTAGGGTCGACAGGTTGCAGAATTTCGACTTTAGTTGCTGGAAATGAATTAGAAACATTACCCTAAACTTTTTGGTACTTGAAAACTTGTTTTAGATGGCGTAATGTCTTTAATAATTCATTTAGAACAACTAGTTATCAAAATTACAAAGTTTTAAGTGTAATTTTTGATTTATGAATGAGTTCATATTCATGTTCTTGTTCTTATGATGTTTTAGATGATCATAGGAATTATTTGTAACCTATGTGGTAGATTAATTCTTGATCATAATGTGTTTTAATGGAGTCCATAACTTGTCCTCAAGTTATGAAAAACCAAGAGTCACACTTGAATTAAAACGATTAAAAAAAAACACAAGAGTTAGAAAAATGAAGAGTCTTCATTTTATTACTCTATTAAACTCATAAGTTACAAGAAATAAAAAGTTTTGAAAGTTACAAAACTTGCCCTCAAGTTTTGGAACAAGTAAAGTTAAGTTAAAACTTTAGTTCCAACCCCTAGAATTTTAAAAGTTAAAATTCAACCCTTATACTTATATTATGATGATTTAATAATTATATATATATATATATATATATATATATATATATATATATATATATATATATATATATAAGAACAAAGTCGTCTTACCGCTAGTACTACTAGAAAAACAGCCTTTTACGACGCTCATTGCGCGTCGTAAAACGCTCAGACGACGCGTAAATGCGCGTCAAGGAAGGCCCTGTCATAACGAGAGACGACGCGCTTTTGCGCGTCCTCTATAGACGACGCGCATTTACGATGCGCATTTATGACACGCAATGCGTATCATTAAAGCCGTTGTCAAGAAAGGCCATGTCATTAATGAAGATGACACGCAGTTTTGCGTATCGTAAATTTAAATTTAAAAAAAACATATTTTTATATTTTTATTAATTTTTAAATTAAATTTTCATTTAATGTCTCATAATAGAAATAAAATACTATATACAAAAAATACAATCCATTGCATAAAATTTAATGTCATACAATTCTATTTCTTACAATATATAAGTTTGCATTTAATCTACTTTGTGCATCAAATTCCAACTAAGTAAAGTTGCATCTTGCCTTTCATAATTCTTTAAGACTAATGCTCCAAGTAGCTGAATTTATAGATAAGCAGTTGTACATTGGTCCATCTCACTCAAGAATGACTTAGCCAAATTCAACTCCAAGTCTTTACTGCATCTTTAATGCTGCAAGATTTGAATCAAGTGGCTTCATATTCCTTTCTTCCATCAACTTTACCTAATGCACAAAATACACAGAAACAAAAAAAACATTGCAGAGGAAGGGGTAATTTGGGAAAATGTGAGGGGTATAATATAATAAGAACGCAAATACTTAATACCACTTTCATGCCATCGTGGAAACCTGTTGTGCATTACATAAAGGCCTTACACCAACACAAGGCTTGGGTTTGATTATGATCCTCAACTGTTAAACCAAATACAAAAGCATGTCAGAAGAATAAAACTAGATGTAGATGAAACTTTAAAAGAGTTTGATCCATCACCTTACCTGTAAGGTTCCTTACAGACATAACGCACTTCAGTTTTCACAATCATAAGGTCTAAGAACTGATCATCTTCAATCTTTTTAATCAAAATTTAATCTGCCTAACAGAGAAAGATAACAATCAGCCAGGAAAACAGATGTAATGATAATAGACTTTTTAATCAAAATTTAATTTGCCCAATATGACACTTGTACTTACACTGCTACACACACATTAAAGTATTTCATGAAAAACATCAACAACAACAACAACAACAACAACGACAACGACAACAACAACAATAATAATAATAATAATAATAATAATAATAATAATAATAATAATAATAATAATAATAATAATCCATCAAATGAAAGGTGAGTAGCAGGGTTATGTAAGTACCTTAGTATTTGATCTAATTTATCAAGTACTTGAGGCAACCATAATGTTAGAATTATAGAAAGTGCAAATCCAAATGTCTTTTTCTAAATATAATTTACATTGTCAAACTGTAATAATGTAAAACAACCGATTCAGTGGAAGATATTTTGCCCTCGGTTGTAATAACAATAGTAAGGGCAAAATGGTCATTTTATGCAGGTATGTTAGATCTGTTCATCAATAGAAATAAATAGTACTAAGAACTAACCTGCTTAAAATCCAAACACATTTTATAAAAAATTTATTTTATATAAATTTTATAAAGTATAATACATAAAACAAAAACAAATACCAGTAGAGTACTATTGATCAGTTGTGGCCCATTAGAAGCAGAACACTGTCAATACCAACAGCTCTAACCATTAATGCAATGTTCATTTTTTTAATATTTGTTATTAAATATAAACACATTGAATTAAAATATACCTGAATTAAAACATCAATGACAGGTAGTATAGAAATCATTTAGAAGAAACATCGAAAACCTTAAGATATTTTATGCATTTAAATTAACTGTGATTCAAACCTCTGTGATAGGGTATCCACAACTCTTTCAGGACCATATTTGTCCACCAATCCCTTGTTTTGTGAAAATTGAGAGAAGCAAAGTCTAACCTTGTATGCACCATGGTATTCTCCTACCTGCACAGTGCAGTCCCCACCCCAAAAGAAGACGAGCACTACAATAAATAAATAAATAAATAAATAAATAAATAAATTTAGGGCTTTACCTCTTCCCCCATTACAAAGACATTAGGATCAACAACCATTTCCTCATCAAGGGCAGAGTTCAAAGTGTCTCATAATCTGCAAAAATTTCAAAACCAAATTTAATACACTGCACCACTTTTTTTCATATAGTAATTGTTGAAAATAATGTGCAAATTATACCCTGCTAATTATGTGTGGTGTCGGACATACACTAAGACCGCTAGAAACAAAGGATCCAAAATAGGATAATATATTATTATTTATCAACAAAAATAAACAAGAAATAAAATAAAACTGTTATTTCTTATTTACTAATCAAAGTAAATTAAATAAGCCTTTATCATAAACATTTCCAACAACAAGATCAAAAAGCTTTCCAGGGGCATTTACGTCTTTTACCACATAAATTTTGATTTAAATTACCTTTAAGTGATCAAAACTTCTTTCCAGTATATCTACCAAAGATGGAAAGTATGCTAGGAGGGACCATTGAAGGGGCATTCGAAATTGTGGCTTCCCATAGCTTGCATGGGTAATTAGTAATCAGTAATGTACTGTGTCAAAACAGTTAACAAAATGATTATTTATAAAGTTATAATTTCATATATATATATATATATATATATATATATATATATATATATATATATATATATACAATATTGTTACCTGCATAATGTCTTCAAGAAGTTCATCTGAGCTATTAACATGAAGCCCACTAACTAGAACATGGAGAAGAACATTGTATTCACATAGGGGACTTGTACCCAAGTGCAACTACAAAGTTCTTCAGAGCAGTTAGAAGTTGAATCTGCAGAAGGCTTTCACTAGAAGATTCCTCCCAAGACTCTAAATTAAAAAAGAATTCTTTTCCAGTTAAACAAATTGATTGAACAATTTTATTCTAAAAATGTAGTAATTGGATTAAATACCTTTTGAAAAAATTGAACCAATTCAAAGGCGTATAAGATGATGTCACCAACATAGGCAATCAACATGGAGATTGTGTTCAACACTTGAACCTGAAATGAGAAAACACCAAATAACACCAAAAAGTTAGAAATGTAAATTTTATATAAGAAAATATTATAGAAAGTTATAAGCAATGTTTACCTTGGAATCAAACTCCTGACTTCAACAAGTAAGTACAAGTAACAACAAAATTATTAAAAAAAAAAAAAGAAGCATTTATGACTTCTCTTGTAGCAATTTATCAGCAACTGGGAAGTCCGGTATTATATCCATTGGAACCTATATTACTAAATAGTAGTAAATACATGTTAAGTAATTTACCTGAACCATTTCTAGTTTTTTCAAAGCATGTTTTAAAGGTTGTATCATGACACAGTATTTTGTAAGAAGTTGTCAAGCAGCATCTGTGTGCCCTTTTCCTTGTGTTGTAAGTATAACCCTACTTAACCCCTCGACTACATCTTAAATCTATCATTTATCAAACCAGTAAAAAAAAGTTAGTAATTTTTCATTATCATCCCAATGAGAACTTGATCTATAAGTTATAAATGATAAAACAACCACACTACCTTATCAAAGTCAACAGAAAATGTTTCATCAGGATGTAAAACAAATCCCCCTTTCTCAAATAACCAGTTGAACTGTAGTTGACCTTTTCTGGTAACAAACTTTCAAAATAATAATTAAAAAAAACATTTAATCAGATTAATATATAAATATATCGAGTGGAGTACCCATGAGCTTCCTCTAACCCGAAACGTACAGACCGGAAGCAACCTGCAAGGTAAGACACGTACATTGACTTGACCAGGCGCTTTGGAAGCTCATCCTGGTCAACCAACCCAAAAATATGGTCAACTTTTCATTATCTTCAAATTTACTTTACACAAATTAATATTTTAATTAAAAATTATATATCAAGATACCACTGACCTTATCTATAAGAAATTTTAGGGCCCACAGACCAACAATGTCCACTTTAGCTTCTTCCAAAGCTAAATGTAGTTCTTGTAGCTCCTGTTTGTCGATTCATATAAAGCAATTATAATTTTATAAAGATTATTAAATTTGAAATGAAAAAAAAACCCCACCAATCTCACAGTTGACTTTTGACCATCTAGAAGTGTTATTGTATGTGGTCCTATCCCATGACAACACTCATGGCAAATTGTGTGAGTGAAAAAGAGTCAAAGTCAACAAGTTCCCGTTGTTCCTTTATAATGCCTACATCAGCTATAGGCTTCACAATAAGCCTAAACCTGTTTTCAAAATAAATAAATAATTTTTAAGATTATGTGTAATGTAGGTAGTAGAAGAAAAAGTAAAAAAAAATGCAGCCTCTGTGTTGGGAAGACTGCACAAGTATCCTTTTCTTTTTCCTGAAATTTGCAACGTCTTTAAAATGTGGAAGATATACTGGCAACAGAAGGCATGCGGTAGACCTCATGCTTTCTTAGAACAGGCAGGTTTTCCCATGGTAGCATCTGAAAAAAAAAACAAAACAACCTCATTATTATTATTATTATTATTATTATTATTATTATTATTATTATTATTATTATTATTATATATGAACTATGAAGATGAAAATAAAAAGAAACCAAAAGATATTCTATACCTACCTGGATATTCCTTGCATAAGAGAGAAGTGACATCAAAAGATAATCAAGAAAGCAACCTGCAGAGTTTCAAAAAAGGGTTGGATAATCTTTATGTGTTTCTTCAACACATTCATAGCCACAGAGAATCAAAGGACATTAATTACTAGCAGATGTCATTCTCAGAAGTCAGAACTCTAGGCAACCGAAGGCCAAACCTCAATTAAAACACCAGCAAAACACCACATGTTCAAGACTACAAAACAAATTTGTCTTCCAAGAATCCAAGCTAAAGGGCAACAAAAACCCAATTGCAGGTGAAACTTCAACTATTCAAGGGAAATGGCATAATCGTCCTTGTCTTTGGCTGATCCACTCGCCCTACATAAAATAAAAATCAAATATTTAAAATACATAATAAAAGCCAAAGAGATTGTAGATGAATGATGATACGAGATGGAGATTCAATTTCTGATTTATCATTTACATAGAAAACAAAACACAAACTAAATGGTTTTTCTTTTTTGTTACTGTTGCTCTGCAAAATGGCCAATCGATGCCTATGTACTTCGATATTTGCACGAAGAATGTAGTTAAACGCCCAATCGATGCTACGCAACAAAATCTCCCAAGAGATTCGTCTCGTCGTCTTCTCTATTAGGCACCGATAATGTTGCCTTCCTCTTTCTCATTTTTGGTTTACCGCCTTCAAGCCAATCAGATACGAAATTGAGGGCTTTGAGCACAGTGGGCTGAAAATATCACATATAGCTACCGGACCAGACCAGACTTACATTATGCCACCTCAGGAATGATGCCCTCGGCCATTGCCCAACCTGCCCATGCCCTGGGCTGGGCCTGGTAGTCATAGTAGATGGAGTAGGGTTGACAGGAGGTGGATCCAAGACTTAGAGCCCCAATCGACAACATCGTGAGTGTAAGAAGTCGCAGTCGTCGGCATAGGCATGTGTGAGCGTAAGGAGTCGCCGACACTGCGAGGATGAAACTTGATCTTTCAAGAATCTGATTCCAAAGGAGAGAGAGAGAGAGAGAGAGAGAGAGAGAGAGAGAAAGAGACGAACTGCTTAAAGGATTATTAGGGGTTTTTGGGAGAGGATTTTAGAAGGAGAAGAAGGAGATGATCATGCGATGTGTTTAATTTTTTGGGATTTCATTTCCCCCCATCGCAGGCAGAGAACGCGCCTTCCTAAAAAAAATATAAAACGACATAGTTACACGACACGCTCTTTATTATTGGTGCCCTCCGTGTTTTTTTTCTTGGACACTAATTTTAGGGCGCGCAAAAAATGCGTGCCCTCTATCCTTGAAATTTTAGAAAACTGACATTATTTTTTACCACACACACAAATGCGTGTCCTCTATCAATGCGTGTCATTGTTTGCGCATCATTAAAGGGCCGTTTTCTAGTAGTACGCCTCATTCACGAAGCCGGTCTATAAGGTGGGTATAAGGTTGTTGCCTATAAAATGGTGACTTAATGGGTGTCTACTCTCACCCACTGCTTGCTTGACTGGTGGAGGGTCGTTAGCCGAACGGGTAAGACACGGACTTATAAATTCTCATTCAAAGTATGATGAATATAATAAAGTAACTAAATGTTTTATTAAATTCCTAATCTTAGTTACTTTAGGAAAATGTGAATAAGGTGCTAATCCATGAAATTACACTTTACACTTTGTCTAAGTCGTTGGTGGAGCGTGTGTGGTTAACCGGCACACTAACTTGGACTTAACAAGGTAGGTAAAGGGTGACTTAAGGTTTATTATAGTATCAGTGGAGCGTGTGTGGTTTACCGGCACATCGATTGAGTGATAAACTTTAAGGGTACCAAGTGATTTGCATGGTTACTTCACACCTCGTTTTGTGATCCTCGGTATCCCAGTCACAAAACTTGGAGGGCACACTCGAGATTGAAACATGCCTTTGAAAAGCTCATTGAATCTCAAAGAATCTAGGAATTTCTAGGAGTCAAACAAAACCTTATACTTAAATGTTTCGGTTTTCGTGGTGGAAATTGGTGAATCGTCATTCACCTACCTTTCAAATATGGTATAGCTTAGACTACGACATACCTCTTCTAAGCTATGTTATATTGTGATTGGATCCTAGCCTTAATATGACATTTGGGTGTTTTATTAAGGAGTCTCATAGATCTATACTAAACTTGTTCTCTTCTTTCAGATGTCTTCAAACAATGCTGCTTCTGGCTCGAATCCTAATGGCTCCTTTACTCTTATGAGCTTGTGTGGGAAAGTTACCTTTGATGGATCCAACTTCAATGAGTGGATCAGAAACATCAGGATGATAACCCGCTACGAGGACAAAGAATATGTCCTCCAAAAGTCTTATGGAGATCCAACTTCAATGAGTGGATCAGAAACATCAGGATGATAACCCACTGCAACTCCCCAGGAGATCGCTGACTTTCATACTCATGAAAGAGATGCGACCAAGGTGTGGCTTGCATCATGTTGGCCACAATGACAGCTGAACTCCAAAAGTCTTATGGAGATTTCTACCCTTATGAAATGCACCAAGATTTGATGGAAAGATACCATCAAAGTGCACGACAAGAGAGGTATGAGATCATCTGCTCCATGATAACAACCATGATGAAGGACGGGGAATCCGTCACCAATCACATGCAGAAAATGCAAAGGTATGTGGATCGTTTGCTGAAGCTTAATGTGAACTTCCCTGAGGAGCTTGCAATAGATATCATTTTGCACTCCTTACCATCATGCTATGATCAATTCCGCATGACATATCACATGAACAAGGAAGAGGTCACCCTTAGCAAACTTCAGGGACTTCTTAAGACCGCAGAAACAGGTCTTAAGGGGTTGTCGGTTTCTATCACTCCTACTCCAAACTCAACTCCGGTTTTGGCAATCGGGAAAAGTCGAGGGAGGAAGAGAAAGAGATCTTCGAAGGGTACCAAGGCTCGGACCCTTGATGGCTCTTCTTCAAGTGGAACCAAGAAAGGTTTCATTACTCCTTCTTCTGACCCAAAAGAGGCTGAATGCTTCTATTGCCATGAAAAGGCTCATTGGAAGCGGAACTGCCCAAAATACCAGCAGGATGTGAAGGATGGGAAAGTCAAACCCATCCATGCAGGTATTTACACTATCATTTCTAATAACTCACCCCATTCTAAATCTTGGGTCCTTGATACCGGTTGTGGTATTCATATTTGTTGTGACTTGCAGGGACTAAGAAGAAGTGAGGATGTGGAGCAAGGAAGAATAAACTTGATCATGGGGAATAGGAAAGCTTCACCTGTCACCAAGATTGGAGTTTATACTTTATCGCTAAGTAGTGGGTTTAGTTTAGATTTGAATAAATGTTGTTACTCGCCAGGAATGGCAAGAAATATTATTTCCTTTCATGCTTTGTACAAACAAGGGTTTACCTTTTCGTTTAATAATGAAGTTGGTTCTATTGATGCTTTCTTTAATAATGTTCTTTATTTTAAAGGATTACCTTGTGATGGTGTGTATGAAGCTGTGTCTGTTGTAGATAACTTAGGAAATAATGTTTTGTGTATTGATTCTACTACTAATAATAACTTGGATAAAGCACCATTATGGCATTGTCGCCTTGGACATATAAGCAAGAAACGCATAGGCCAACTCCAAAAGGATGGAGTCTTGGAGTCGTTTGACCTAAAGTCAGATGATAGTTGCGAATCATGCTTACTTGGAAAAATGACAAAGTCACCCTTCACAGGCTCGTGTGAAAGGGGTGAAGGTTTGTTGGACCTTATACACACGGATGTGTGTGGGCCATTCAAACATGCCACAAGGGATGCTAATCGTTATTATTTGACTTTTACTGATGATTACAGTAGATATGGATATGTCTACTTAATCAAACATAAGTCAGAGACTTTTGAGAGGTTTAAGGAATTTAAACAGTAAGTCGAGAATCAATTGGGCAGGAACATTAAGATGCTTCGATCCGATCGAGGTGGTGAGTATCTTAGTTCAGAGTTCCTCGAATATCTAAGGGAATGTGGGATTGTCTCACAATTGACACCTCCCAGGACACCGCAGTTGAATGGTGTGGCTGAGAGGCGTAATCGAACCTTGTTAGACATGGTTTGTTCCATGATGAGTCGAGCTTCGCTACCAATCTCATTCTGGGGGTATGCTGTAACAGCCCGGAATCTCAAGTATTGTTAAAATTATATTTTGGGGTGTTTTAAAGGGGGGACTCGGCGAGTTGGGTCCAGACTCACCGAGTAGGATCGCAGACCTGGTCGCGGGTTTGCGACTGCACTCGACGAGTCAGATAGGGACTCAGCGACTCTGCGCTGTTTAGCGAAAACCCTAGCCGTTTAGGTTTGGGACGTATAAAGGGGACTTATTGGCCGTCATTGTTCGTTTTAGCCTGCTGTTTAGCGAAAACCCTAAACCGATTGTGTGCATCTGGAGCAAAGCTAAGGGCCATTGGCAATTTTGAAGGAGTTGTTGTGCAAAGAAGAGAAGGGCTTGGCTAAAGGAACAGCAAGGGGGTCACATTCTGAGGATTGGGGACACAGAGAGCACATTATCCAGGTAAGAATTCGTGTATACTCTGCTATGGTGATGTATTTAGAGGATTAGGGTTTATGGAACCCTTTTATGGATAAATTTAATGTTACCCTTGTTCCCCAAACGATTGTAACCCTGTATTAGGACCCTTGGAGGTCCAGAATATCCCATGTCCGTGCACTTCGGGAATTGGTGAAGGTTTTGGATTGAAATCCTTATGCCTTAGGTCAACATGTAAATTATAAGTCTTGGCGTGTAGCATGAGCACCTAAATGAAGACCTTATGTAATGGATCAGTCTAGGAAGGCCAGACCTATGAATGGTCGGAGCAGTTCCGACCTTAGGGAGCAGTTTGAGCGGCTGCATCGCATGGACTCGCCGAGTCAGATGAGCAGACTCGGCGAGTAGCTTGAAGAATAACTGGGACTCGTCGAGTTGTTCCTCAGACTCGGCGAGTGGAGTCGGGGTGGCCCCGCGATTCTTCCAGGAGTAACTCGTCGGGTCAAGGAGGATACTCGACGAGTAGAAGGGAAACCTTAGAGGATTGGAGGACGACTAGACTCGCCGAGTCGCCAGAGTACTCGCCGAGTCCGTTCGAGTTGACCGTCGACCGTTGACCAGAGTTGACCCATGTGTGATTTCTTAGGGTCAATTAACGTGGAAGATAAAAGTATTAATAAGAGATATATGATGTTATAGGGAGCTTGTAGCTCGGCGGATCAAGTACGAGGGATTTCAGGAGTTGCTAACTTTCAGTATCCGCGAGGTGAGTCTTCTCACTATACTGTACCCGGAAGGGTTGGACTGTGTGACCGGAAGGTCGGATATGATATGTGTTATAAGTGCTATATGTGGTAAGATAATTACTATGCGTGCTATGTATGTTTATATGGGCCGGAAGGCAATGTGTATGGGCCGGAAGGCAATATGTTATGTGACCGAAAGGTCGGATATGATATATGATATATGTGCTATATGTGTTAGAATAAATGTATTATGTGCTGTGTATGTTTATGGGCCGGAAGGCAATATGTTATGGGCCGGAAGGCAATATGTTATGGGCCGGAAGGCGAATATGTTACGGGCCGGAAGGCGATTATGTTAAGGGCCGGAAGGCGGGTTGTGTTGTGGACCGGAAGGTTAGGGCCTGGAAAGGCGTATATGTGTAAGTTGTATATTGGGGAACTCACTAAGCTTCGTGCTTACAGTGTTTGGTGTTATGTTGTTTTCAGGTTCTTTCAGTAACACAGGATGGCACCGGCTCGATTGTACACACCAGAGAAAGAGTCAAATTTTGGAGGATCCTGGTTTTCTATTCAAGTGAAAATGAAACTATGCTTTGTAATTCAATTATGAACGAGATTTTTAACAAGT